GCGGGGGCTCCCGGAGCGGGTAGGAGCTCAGCCAGGACGTCCTGGCACCACGTAAGGGAGCAGGAAGGCTCCCGGCAGCGTCCGGGGCTCTTGCCAGGAACTTCCCATAGAACTGATACAATAACAAGGACTTTATTTAATAAAGTCTCGGTAGGAAGCAGAGCGAGGCGCCTGCTGCATCTCTTCAGCTTGGCTGCCCTGCGCCCCGGCAGCCTGCAGCCCCCCACGCTGAGCTGGGCGCTGCCCGTCCCCCCTCCCAGCGGCTGGGCCCGCGCCTGGCGCCGGGGAGGAGCCCAGGGGCCAGCAGAAGCGGCAACTGACGTGTCGGGGCACCGGGAGGGCAGCAGAAGTGAGAAGGGGAAGCCACGTGTGCCGTGGCAGCGCTTTCCCCTCCTGCGCCCCAGCCGCTGCGGGGACAGAGCCGGCCCCCAGTGCCCCCCTGGGCGTGGAGCGTCCCAGGAGCCAGACTCCAGGGGCCAGAGCGAAGCTGTTCACCAGGTGGATTTATTTACGGCGGGTGAAGGGCAGCCGATGGCAGTGTGAGGTCACAGCAGGTGCCTCTGCGGGCGTCCACTCTCCAGCACTGCCGCTCCCCGCAGCGCTGGATCCCACCCGGTCTCCTTCGGGGCTCTGTCCCACTGCCGCTCAGGTCCCACCTCGCCTGCATCAGTTTTGGTCCCTCGGGGTGCCTGAGCCTCAGCCCACCGGGGTTCCTCAGCTAGAGTTTGCTTGGGTTTGGCGTTTGCTCCACCCGGATGACTCCCTCCTGCACACAGGTGACAGCCAGGACCCCGTCCCTGCGCCACAGCCGTCCCTGCACCAGGCCCCGGCACCCGCCTGCAGAGAGGCCCCATCAGACCGCGGCCCCGGGACGTGCGGGGCCGATCTCTGTCCCCGGGGAACGCGGCGAGGACTCACCAGCCCAGGGGCTCTCGCACTCGTACAGCATCCAGTGGTCCGCCCGGAAGGGCGCGTGGAACCACATGGAATGGTCGAGGGACACCATGAACTTGACGCGGTGGTGGCGGTGCGGGAGCAGGGCCGTGCCCAGGAAGGCGTAGTCTGAGATGTAGGCGGCCACGCAGCAGTGCAGCTTCATGTCCGTCTCTCCTGCGAAGCAACCGGCACTGCCCGTCCCCGCGGGGTGGCCGCGGGACAAGCCTGGGCCGTAGTGGGGGCAAAGCTTCCCCCAGGCCCAGCCGCTGGCCCAGCAGAGCCGAGGTGCCCTTTCGGACCCGCTCCCCTCGCCGTGCCCCCCGGGGCTGAGCGCAGCCCACAGGCATGCTTCATGCTCCCTCACCCGTATTTCAGCCTCGAGATCCCCGGCTCCCCCGCAGGCTCGGGGTGCGGGCAGCCCCCGAATCGCAGCCCCCTGCGGCGTGAGGCCGCTGAACCACTCCCCCGGCTGGACCCACCTATGTAGCCTCGTGCTCGCACCCAGAGGAGCTGCTTCGGCTCCTGTGCCTCCGAGCAGAACATATTTGGTGGGTTCACGGGTTTGATATCGATCGGCACGTTTTCAGCCTGAATCTTGTTGAGATGCTTTCTGTACCTCTCCGCCAAGTTGGGGTTCCTGTGGGCCGACCCAGACAAGTGAGATTAATGCCAGGGGCTCGTCCTGCTGGCGGCGGCTTCGGCCCAGGGACCCGGGGCCACGCAGAGGGGCAGGAGGGGCACGGCTCAGGCCCTGTCCTGCTTCTCTACTCCCCCCCCCTCAGGTGTATTTGGGAGCTCCTCAGGCAGTCACCCCCATCCCTGCGCCTCCCTAAGCCCCAGCGCAGAGAAGGGCGTCCCCAGCGTGCCCCTTCCTCACTCACTGCAGGAACTTCTGGATGAGCTCCTCGTGCGTCAGCAGCTCCTCGGGGGGTGGCACAGCCGGCATGGTGAACTGGTGCTGCACTGGGCTCTCCTGGGAGAGCTGGAAGGAAGCCTGGCAGGTGAAGATCGGCTTTCCATGCTGGATGGCCTTTACGGAACGAACAGAGAAGCTCTTCCCTGTGCGGGTGCGCTCCACCTCATACAGCACCGGCACCTTGGGGTCTCCTGGGACAGAAAAGGGACGTTCTGCCGTTGGGGCACCACAGAGGGGACCTGACCTACAAGGGCTGAGCACGGGCCTGGCCTGCTGCACCCTGAGCTGGTGGTGCCACCCATACTCCCCGCTGTGCTGGGGCTGGGATGGTGGGATCTGCCCGCCACCGGGGACCTCAGCCCCGGCACCCCCAGCCCCTCAGCTGCTGCATTCACCGCCTGGCCCCAGTCCCACCGTAACCCCCCACCACCCCGACCCC